AAAGCACGAGAGTGGTAAATACACATCATATAATAAAGTCCTAATTCCCACAAGGTTTTTTACACACTTGATCCTAAGAAATTGACTCGATTAAAACATCAAAATGACTCAAAACCGACTGACTCAAAACATAAGACAAAAACAAACTCGATTAGTAGCAGATATATGTCTCCCCCAGACTTACTTCACACCATCTCTGGTGTGGAAATAAATCGAGGAAGGCCAAAATAATAAACAAGTTCATAAAACATAAAAAGTTCAAGCGGATAAGACAAAGGTGATAGCGATGTGGAAACTGCTTAGTCGGTTTCCTAGTTGTCGGACTGACCAGTGTAGCGCCTGTTCCTCCCACAAGGAAGAATCTCGGGGGACTGTTCCACCGCGCCTGAAGTACCTGCTAGCTCCTTTCCTGCGCGATGTCCTTCTGTTGCAGCCTGTCTACTCAGTGTTTCTATTGTACTTGGTGTCCCCAAACATCCTCCGGTGTTTGCTTTCAGTATCCTCTTCCTGAGGATGTTGGTCTTTCAATGGGAGTCTAACATCCAGCGACAGTAGGAGGCATCATCGCCAAGAGGGTCCAAGTCGTATGTTGTATCGCCTTCGAAAGTACCGACTTACTTGACATCATCCATAGTTGCATCTTGGTGAGGGTACTTTGGGTTGGATCAAAGGAGTTGAGGTTCGGAGGTAATGCATATGTTCTCCACATTACTTAGCGATGTGATGTCCAGCTGAGGGAGCTTGCACTAGCATTTTGTACCATCCTTACCGAGAAAACTGTCGGTGGTCTCCTTGCGCAAAATTTGGTAATTGATCAGGTAAGGGATGTCAGTGTACTCTGGTGTCTTCGTTGGACGTGTACCCGCTTAGGTCAAACTCGAAATGGCGGAACAAAGGAGTGAGCAGGCTCCCACAATGGTCCTTCTAAGCACCCTTCAAGACCCTTGTCCTCTTTTCGACAAACATATGTAGGAGCACACAACCTTGACTGGTTGCCATTGGAGCTATCGGAATCCCAATGTTTTCAGCTCGGATCTCATCCTCAACCCCCCCCCCCACAACAGGAGCTGCAGCTCCCCTTTTTGCACCTTTGAAGTCTGATCCTTCGAGAAAAGCAGGTTGCTTAGGACCTTTGCAACTATCCTCAGTATGGGGTTTTGGATGTGTGACTTGAATTCTCCTGTGGTGATGAGGTTTTAGAACGGTTGCTCCAGAGGAAACTTCTAAGGGAAGGAAATTCTGATTGGTTCCTCTGACATACCATAAAGATTGGTGAGCTCCTCCTGAGAAATCGAGTGCTTAACGCCACTTGCAAAGAATGTGAAGTACACCTCTTCAAAGGTTGGAAGGTCAGGCTTTTGGTAAGTGATTTCTGCAGTGGCTAGGACTTGCCTCACCAAATCTGGGTACAGCGTGTGAGTTTCATAGCAGTGACCAGATATTCCTAGGACATCGAGAACAGCATGCACATCCTCAAGGATTCCAAGATCTTGAAAGGTCTTTGCGTGAACGAATCTAGTCGGCTGGATGTTGATCTTGAGCAAGGGGTTGTAACGACGCGAGGCTTTCATATCCCAACGTTCCTCCGAGGAGTTTTTGATGTTTGGATTGTTGATAGAAATCTTTGTTTTCTCCTTGTGTGGCAAGGGGTAAGTTAAGGAGATGAGATCATCCTTTGGTTCACCTTGGGTGTACTTTGGTGTCTTCTTCGAGACGCTTTTGGTTTGTTTAGGCATCTGCAAAATAGAATCAATGAAAGGTGATTAGTCCCATTCATAGGGTTGAGTAGGAGAAGTTGGAAGCTTGTGAAATTATGGTTGCTATAACCAAACTTTTCTTATCAAACCCCATATAGAATTAATAAGCAATCCGCAATGGTGAACCAAAGCAAAATCACTTAATGATCCATTATTTAAATCAATCCCCCATGAATAAAAATCGATTCAATAAATCCTAAAACAAATATCAAATCAATCAAAGCATGTAATTTTAAGAACAGTGGCGCATAGTTTCAATCTTCCAAATACCTTAGAGGTTCTATCATTCTCTACTCAATCTTGTTAAATATGTCCTAGCATCATGAAGAGAGGTCAATTTCTAGTTGGAATAACTAGAAGTCGACCTATTCAAGAGCTAAAAGAAGAGGAAGATTTTTGGTCCGAGAACCACGTGGTGATCCGCTTCTTACCATGAGATTGCTGAGGGATTGAACTTGCAATTAACCCACGAACTCAAAATCCAAGCAAGTTTTCAAACCGAAAATCTTGTAAACTGAGTGGAAGTCAAAGATAGAAGGTTTTGAGGTGAAAGCTTTGTCAAAATCACAAAAGACAAAGGGGAGGAGGTTGTGGAGAAACAAGAGAGATGAAAAACGTCTTTAAATAGGCCCCACTTTGTGCCCAACTTTCCTATTTTTCTACGATTTTTTTTTTGTCAAAAACAAATTTATATTTTTTTGGTCCCGAGATACCTACTTGAGGGGAGCAGCTTCTTCGAACTGGGAACAGACTGATGTCTGTTCTATTTGAGTAACTCGGGTTTTTCTGGTGTTTATCCTTTGAATAAATTAAAGAGTAACACATAACAAAAAATTCTAAAGAAATATGTACATTCACCAGTGGGTTGCCTCCCACCAAACTCTTGTTTTAAGTCACTAGCTTGACTTGGTTAGCCGGATAGCCTAGAGAAGGGTCGCTTAAGGGAATTTATTCACTCTCTGTGATTTTTGTCTCAGCAAGATATGGCTTTAGGCGCTGACCAGTGACAACAAAACTCTTCACCTTTTGTGTCCAGCAACACAACGGCTCTGTAGGGGCGGATGTTGGGGTCAAAACCGGTCCGACGGAATCAAGGACAGAAACGTTCCGCAACAATATAAATACGTTTTATAAAACTCGAGAAGTTGTGTTATAAAATTCTAAGAATTTTCCAAACAAAGGAAATCTGCGGAAAACTTGGGAATCGTAATCTCGGAAGAACGAACGAAACAATTGCTGATTAAACGATTGCCCAAGTTAAGCGAAAAACCGCAAAAAACCGTATCCACCGTAAACCGCGAGCAGGTTCGACCATACCAAGTTCAACGTACGACGAGCCGAACCAGCCGGTTCTGCTCGCCAGTGAAAATTTTAATCATTAAATAAAACATCTTCAACCAATATGAAAATAAAAAATATATAGAACTTATTATTAAAAAAATAAAAAACTTACAATATCTAGTAAAATGATAAAGGGGAGTATTGATTAAAATTTAACTATATTACATAAAATTTAAGCAATATTTTTAAATAAAGAAATTTCAAAATAAATTTAATTTTGTTGTTCTTTACATTTGTCATTCGAACATAAGGTTATTTGGGGCCATTAGAGGAATTGAACCTATTTGCTGTTTACTTTTGCCATTCAAATAATCATGTGACTAGTGCCCATTAGAGAGATTGAAGACACCATTCTAGATCAAATCACCTTTGTTTAAATCTTTATTTTGTTTTTTCTGTCTCTTATAACCTTTGGATTTTGTATCCTGAAATCATCCTGAGACAATAATTTTTATATGCCTATTTAAAATAACGTAGAATACACATAATAGTAGACACCAAAATTTCAAAATGAGATAACATTATGAACATAAAAGGATTTAAATATGACATATAAAATTTTAAAGAACCAAAGAAATGGAGAAAGTGTATTTTGAACGAAGACTTATTGATAGGAATAGAAAATTCCTTGTCATTAAATGAAAGTTCTGTATTATTACCATTAATTTGCCATTTAATTATATTTGAAATCATGCTATTAATCTGTCATTTTGTATCATTGCTATTAGTTTACCAATTTTTAAGGATAGTTTTTGTATCTTGAAATAATAGGATTAGTAACAAAAATTTTAGGGAAAATTTGGAAAAAATGCCATCAAATGAGAATATATTTTGAAAATTACATCACATTTTAAATTTTATGAAAACTACACTTATTTATAAGTGAAGTGACTAAATTAACCTGATTAAGATTATAATAATTTCAATAGTTAAATAAAAAATAGAAAAAAATATAAATGATTTATTTGTTTTGTTTTAAATGATACAACAAGAAATTCTCGAATGTGATATTTTTTTTGTTTTAAAGCTTCTGGGTTTTCGTACTTTTTTAATAGCTGTACTTCCATTTTTCTGTATCTGAGGTGGAAGACACAATCGTGTCAATATGTCACTTTGGAGTTTGATAATTATTTTTGTTATAATTTAGACTCATAAATACGTTTGTAATCACCACAGATTCTTATTTCATCAAAACAAAGGTTAGTCTAGAAAACAATTCATAATGTTTCTTGTGAAGTCAACAAAAACATTCATGATCTTTTGACCCATTTATTTGCTCTATATCGCAAATTTTCGGAATCTTTTTAATCTCTCAAAACTCAAATAACATATCATTTATTATGTTCTCGGCTAGGTTTTTTATATTCAACTCTTTTAAACTTCATGATTAAATACCATAAAGGGATTTATCGATATTTTTTATATAAGATATGTTTTAGAGATACAAATATAAATATTTCAATAGTTATTCATATATATATATATATATATATATATTAAATATTATAATTTCATTAGATTTATAAAATATTATAATTCAATAGCATTATCTTAAAATAATTATAATACAAATAATTTTTCGCTTTTATTATTAAATGTTTTTAATTTAATTTTTAGATAAGGATAAAAGCACGTCTTATAACATATAAATAAGTGTATTTACAAAATATTATTATAGCAGTGTATTTTTCCAATTTATAATCTTAAATAGAATAGTTTACAAATTATCTCAAAATTTTATTTTGCTGGATATTAACTGGACAATATTCTTTCAAAATGAGGTATAATAGACAATTCTTTCTAAAATTAATACTTCAAAATAGTACAACAGTCACTGACCGCACACATCTAGTCACACTACATTACAAAATAATTCAATATGTACTTATAAACCTGTTCGGAGAAATTTATAAAGATGATACCAGAATAAACACTAAGACTATTGTCTATGAAATTTTTTTTTGTACTGATTTCTTTCCTTTCCAACACATATCCTTTCTGCTGCAAAGATGAAGAATCAATTGCTTTTGGCTATTTTCCTTGTTGGGGCCATCGCTTTACCAGATACAAGCAGCAGGGAAGAAGAGAGACTCACTTTTATAGACAACAGGCTTGAATTGGTGTATCCAGTGATCCAGCGATTCAAGTCACTCATCACTCTCGACCCGTTTAAGGTAACACAGACATGGATAGGTTCAGACGTTTGCAGTTACAGAGGCTTCCACTGTGACAATCCTCCGGATAATAAAACTGCAGTCACTGTAGCTTCCATCGATTTCAATGGCTTCCAGCTCTTTGCTCCCTCCATCGAAGGATTCATCGATCTACTCCCAGACTTAGCTCTATTTCATGTAAATTCGAACAACTTTGGTGGTACCGTCCCTTCGAAGATCGTTAATCTCAAGTATCTCTATGAGCTGGACATCAGCAACAACAAATTCACCGGTCAGTTTCCAACCGCGGTAGTTGACATGCCCGGTTTGACATTTCTTGACATCCGTTTCAACTCGTTTTCCGGTTCAATCCCACCACAAATCTTTGGTCAGAACCTCGATGTTCTCTTCATTAATGACAACACCTTTACTGCAAGCCTCCCGGAGATACCTGGCGATAGTCATATCCTTTTCTTAACTTTAGCAGACAATAAGTTCAACGGTCCTCTCCCAAGAAGCATCCTAAGATCTATGTCAACATTAACCGAAGTACTCTTCTTGAATAACGACTTTACGGGTTGCATTCCTTACGAAATTGGGTTGCTCAAAGGAGCATCGATTATCGATATTGGTGGAAATAAGCTCACAGGTTCTTTACCGCTTTCACTTATGTGTCTAGAAAAGGTTAAGCAGCTCAACTTTGCTGGGAATCTCTTATTTGGGGCTATCCCTGAGGCAGTGTGCATGCTCCTCCGGGACAATCTTGTCAACTTATCTTTGTCTGATAACTATTTCACACACGTGGGGCCTTGGTGTAAGGTTTTGGTTGATAGAGGTGTTCTTGACATTAGGAGTAACTGTATTCCTTTCTTCCCAGGACAAAGACCTATTGAAGAATGTGCGGAGTTCTTTGTCAAACAAAAGTACTACTGTCCTCACGCATGGTTTCACAGTTTTCTTCCTTGTAAATATTCTCACATACCTTCTTCCCCTTCTAGTGCTTTTATGCCCATGTTGGCTCCCTCACCTTGATGTTCATCATCATGTGTCAGCATGTTTGATCTCTTCTTTGTAATGAAAAAAAAACGAATTATGTTTCCACCAACAGAATCATGGTAATGAAAAGAAAACGAATTATGTTTCCACCAACAGAATCATGGTAAGAGAAGGGCCATAGTGGTGTTGTGTTGGAAATACATGTTAAATCTTTTTTCTTTGGGTAACAAGTATATGTTTTCCTTGTCCATTATTGAGTGTGTCAATGTCATGTGAGTACAGAAGTAGTCACGACGCGTGATACAAAGAAAATTCTTAGTTTTGTTTTAGGTTAAACAAGACAAATTGATAGTTTGGTTAAAATCAATGCCACTATGATTTCCTGTATAATAAATTGATGAAAATAAGTACAAAATATGGTAGATAAATACATAGAGACTAATATGTCTCGTCGCTGAACTCTAAAGAGAAGAATCCTGCTCATCTGCTCCTCTGGCGACCGGTTCTTCTTACCGTCGAGGGGAGCAGTCTCTATTTTCTTAGTTTTTATCTCTACGGTTTTATATTTGGCGGTTGGTCATCCTTTTAGTTCATGATTTCAGATTTGGGTTAAAGCGAAGAATTGATTGTCTAGGTTTGGTTCGATTGCTTTGGCTCTTTTGGAGAGGCGCTAGGTGGTAGATTCGTCGGCTTCTATGCGGTGGTGGTAAGATGTCAATTTGGTTCCAGAGCTAGTTAAGGTTATCAGTCTAGCTAGAGCTTATGTCTCTCTGGTTTGTTACCCTCCTAAGATGTTTTGGAGCTTGTGTCCTTAAGTCTCTGGCAGCTATATCATAATTATCTCTAAAACTCTATTTGGGTATCTTAATTTATTTTATCTAAAAAAAATTAAATGCGAACCAATTGCGGATCACCACATGTTAGTGGGGCCCGTGAACAGTGCAAGAAACCCATATAGTCGGTTCATAATTCATAGTTTTTTAACCGACTCTTATACTGTTCATGGGATTCACACAATAAAAATCCCTTAAGTACCTACTAAAAAATCCTATAATCGTGCTCTTAGGTAAGTCTTTAGAGAAGAAATATGTGGTGGTAGCTGGAACCTAGATGATGTGATTTTATGTGTTCCCGATAATGTCTTATGCTAGGCTAGGTTCTTATTTTGAGAAGTGTATCCAGCTCTTCTGATAAGTTTCAGGTGTTGATGGCGAGAACTTTACCGTTGCGTTGTTTATGGCATGACATTCCACACACATTCTCCATGTGCCATCTTTCTTTGGTACCAATAAGACAGGTACTGCACAAGGACTCATACTTTCTCGGGTGTAACCCTTCTCCATATGCTCACTTACTTCTTTTTGCAACTCCTTGGTTTCAACCGGGTTGGTTTGGTAAGCTGGTTGATTGGGGAGAGAAGCTCTGGGAACAAAATCGATCTGGTGTTCAATTCCTCTGATGGGTGGCAACACCATTGGGTTCATCCGGAAATACATCATCATGAACCTGTAAAAGACAAGACACACTGCTCGGAAGATCTGGCTCATCGTTAGATATACACATAAAAGCTTCTTTGTAAACAAGTAAAAGAAATGGCTCTTGTGTGAACATGGCCTTCCTGGTGTTACTAGATCTCACTAAGAAATTTGTAGATCTCACGGGATTACTCTCAAAGACTTTTTTTTGGGGTTCTCTCGGACTCTCTTTTGGTTGTTCTTTAGTGTTTGGGGTTTCACTCTCAAACTGTTGTTTTCCTTGCTTCTTGAGTTGTAGTTGATCGTCATGAATCTTCTGAGGTGTCAATGGTACAAGCGTAATCTTCTTGCCTTTGTGCTGGAAGTGTGTTTGTTGGTGAAACCACCATGTATCGCCCTCTTGTCATACTACCATGGTCGTCCCAAAAAGATATGACCCGCATCCATTGGCAACACATCACATGTATCTCATCTTCGTATCTTACAATTGCGAATGGTAAAAACACTTTCTTTGTTACCCTCATTTCTTCTTGGTCATTCAACCCTAAAGCTTGTACGGAGTAGGATGCTTCATGGTTTCTAGACCCAACTTCCCGACCATACTCACGCTAGCAACATTAGTGCAACTCTCACCGTCAATGATAAAACTACAGAGCTTATCCTTCACTTGATATCATGTATGGAACAAATTCTCCCTTTGTTCTTCCTCTTCGGCTTTAGCTTAAGCACTCAAACTTCTCCTTGCAACCACAAGCTTTTCTTTGGGTGGTAACTCCCCACACTCCTCTCAGAGTCTTCAACAACTTCATCTTCTGTTTCAGTCTCTCCATTTTCTCTAAGAACCATGACCTTCTTATTAGGACACTCGTTCGCATAATGATATTTTCCTTGACATTTGTAGCACTGGATGTCTCTGTTCCGGCTGTTAGCTCCTTCTCCTTGTCACTTGCCTTTGAAGTTCGCCCACATACTCACTGATTTTCCTTCTTCTTTAAGCTTTACTTCAAGGTGTGGCTTTGAAAATCTTGGTTTGCTATACCTTTGGTAAGTGGGTTTGGAGCTAGTCATATAAGCCGGCTTCATCACACCCTTTCTCTTCAGTTGTTGCTCAAACGAATCAGCTTTGTGTAAAAGCTCTTTCATCTCCAAATAATGCTACATCTCAATTTGGTCGTGGATGTCTGGTTCGGACCTTCCAATCAACTTAGCCATCATAGCTTCTCATTCCTCATCCATACAAGCTTTGATCATCAGTGACTCCAACTCCTGGTAGTATTCATCTACACTATTTCTTCCTTTTGTGAGACTCATTAATCTATAGTATAACTCTCGTTGGTAATGAGTAGGCACTAACCGCTTTCTCATGGAAGTCGTTATCTCAGCCCATGTATCAATAGGGAACCCACCATTGCTCCTCTTAGAAAGTACCAACTGATCCTACCAATTGACTGCGCAGTCTTGAAACTCAGTAGCAAAAATCTTCACTTTTCTATCCTCAGGAAACCTTTGGCAGTCAAACATAACCTCTAATCTCTCTTCCCACTCCAGATAAGCGTCTGGATCATTTTCCCATGAAAAGATGGGATTTTCATCTTTAAACCTCCAAGAGTATCTTAATGTATCATGTTCTCTCGCCCTTGTCTAGATCTCCTACTCATTTGAAATACTGTATAAAATGAGCCATAGTAGTTTTTTAGCTTCTTCATCATTCTGATCAGATCTTCTCCTCTTTCCTCCTTGATCATTAGCACTCTTCTGAGACTCCTCAAATTTCCCTGTAAATCATTGACACCCCACCAAAGCTTCTTTTGACAACTTATCTGGTTCGCTTTGTCCTTTTCAATGTTCTAACATTGTACCTGCAAGAAAGGTTAGTAATAAAACAACTCACAAGTGTTTCTCTCAATTTGTTCACTCAAGTGTTTCACTCAATCTCTCCTAATACTCTCACCACAAATGATTCTACACAAAGTTATTGTAGGACAACACTACCTCAGATGCTAAGCCTTGACCACAATGATCAAATAGTTCCAAAAGATAAAAGATAGAAAGACAAGAGATATAAATAGATAGATACTGAACCAGACTTCTTTAGATCTTTTTTTTTATTCTTTTACTCTCTTTATTTTTGTTTGTTTTAAAAATTTTTACTTTCTTTTCTTTTACTAGTCTTTTAACAAGAATAGATAGAAAAAGTGAAAGAAGATTAGAAATGATAGATGTCGAAAACCAGTTCCAAAGTTGCTCTAATACCACTTGATATGCTCCTAGACATGAACGGATCTTTGGAAGGGTATTGGGATAATACCTGATGATTTGAAGAAATGTGAAACCTTAGCCATGGGTATATTAAACCCAAGACCCAATTGCTCTACACAATAAAAGAAGAAACATGGCGGTGGATCCTTGATCAAGGTGGGTCGACTTGACATTGAGATATGATGGTTGAATGGTCTAATGGAGACACAAGTAATGGTGGAGATTTCTTGATACTACCATGACTTCAGCTTCACATTAAGGCTGATTGTTCACAAAGGACAGATTGAGAATCACTACCAAAGAAACAAAAAAGGTTTTTGATAAAAGCCTCATTATATAGAGAAAATGTTGTCAAGATTAGTCCATAGGACTTCTAATTGATGTAGAGTGATTAAGAAATGAAAAAAAAAACACTTATTCATGCCTAAAAAGAAAAAAAAAGACTAAGATAAATGTTGTTTTGACTAAGGACAAAAAGTACTCTTGATATCTCTCCTTAAATGTGTTATTGCCTGAGTTTTTATATCCCTCCTTAAATTTGTTATTGGCTAACTTTTGATATCCCTCCTTGAATGTGGTTTTTGACTGTCTCTTGATCTACTCCATTTCCTATATTTAAACTATACTATATAATAACTAGAATAGTATAGTATTAGCATTTCTTCATATTTATACTATCTGATAACTAGAATAATATAGCATTGGTCTGGAACTAACTCACCAAAACCAATTGGGCCAAAGGTTCTTCACTCTTCCTATTTCCTAAGTGTTGAACATATCTTAGCAAGACCTCCTTAAGTCTTTAAGTTCTGGCCCGAGTCATTGGACCTTCAGGTACAAGTAATCTATCTTCAATGAAAGTGTTGGTCAGGTTCGTATAATTTAGGTGCCTGGGTATGGATTCTAATTTCCTCTATGTGGGATTTAGTTGCTGGTTATATCTCTTTCTTCATTCAGCTCATCAATTATTTTCTATATTCCAACTTTTGAATGAATTGTAATCCATTGTGACAAAATTCTATATACATAGACTTATATATAGATAAATAGTAATATATATATATAGTAAGAAAATAAGAGCAAAACATTTCTCTAGAATTTTTTCTCCTAAAAATGTAAACTTTCAGCTCACTAGTTTCGGTAGTCGGCGTGCATGAGATTCAATGTTGGAGGCATCCCTTGCTCCTTTTTCCATTTTTCTTCTCTCCTCCTCATCTCTTACCCTTCGAGATGCTTGTGGCCTCTGGTAGGAGATAAGCCAGTGTTCGCATGCTCTTCTCGAGAGAATTCCAGATCCAGTGGCTACCTTTCTTCTCTGAAGATTGATGTTGGCACGGCGGTGATGTGTGCAGGAGTCAGCAGTTAGGTTTTGTTGTTTAGATCAGTTTCTTTTTCCAGATCTGTTCCTAGGCTGAAGGAAGCGGTAGGTTTTG